CAAAGAAGGTCCTGCTCCTGCAGGAGAAGGAAGAGAATTGCTTCCATGTTTTGCTATGGAGTCAATAAGCACTGATGTTAGTATGTTTGATTTGTTTTTAGGATTCAAATAGGATGGCATGTTACAACAGCAAAACATCCTAGTCTGTTCCTTGTAAGTACGTTCACGTGAGCAGGTCATAGCCGAGGGAAACATCATTTTACTTAATGAGCGCTTGAGAATATTTTGAAGTCCTTTACAGTTTACTTGTTAAATCAATAAAAATTTATGTTCATCAGTTCTCTAAAGGACCATTGTTGTATAAGGGCATGATTATCCATTGTCCTTACAAGTTGGTCCTTAGACTAATTTATTGTTATTTTTAGTTTAGGACAATTGTAAGGACTTTTTGTAAAAATGTGGATTATTGGTGGGACTAATATTTGGTTCTTAGGTAAAAATGTGGTTTTTTTAAATAATTAGTAACATATAGATAAAACATATCCCATTTCGAAATTAATAACAACTAATAAGAATTTTTTTTTTTATTAATTTAATAGGAAATTACAAACATTTTATTATCATCCATAAAAAAACATACAAACTTCAGAAATAAAAGTAAACACACATTTTATTCAAATCATAGAAACTTGAAATTTATATGTTATTTGGAAGATGTCCAAATTTAACCCATATATTTTCAATCAAATCGTTTTTTAAATGTTCATGGGCTTGTCTATTCCGGAGGCTGGTTCGACGATCAATTGCATTGCCGAGATTTGAAGGCATACTAACGGAAAATGTATCCACCTCTTCACTTTGTTGAAATTCAAATACGTCATACTGAGTGAATGACGATCGTTCATCTTCGACAATCATATTATGGAGTATGATGCATGCCCTCATAATATTTGCTATTTTGGCTTTATCCCATAACTTAGATGGATTTTTCACAACGGCAAATCTTGCTTGCAAGACTCCGAAGGCACGCTCAACATCTTTTCGAACAGCTTCTTGGGTTTTAGCAAATAATGAAGCCTTCTCACCTTGCGGTAGTCGGATAGATTGAATAAAAGTGGCCCATTTGGGATATATTCCATCTGTGAGATAATAAGCCAAATGGTACTCTGTTCCGTTGACATAGAAGTTTACTTCTGGCGCGACTCCGTTAATAATATCATCAAAAACAGGTGATCGATCAAGAATATTAAGATCGTTCATAGTACCTGGAGCTCCAAAAAACGCGTGCCATATCCAGAGGTCTTATGAAGCCACCGCCTCCAACACAATGGTTGGTTTTCCGGTTCCTCGTGAATACATTCCTTTCCAAGCGGCTGGGCAATTCTTCCACTCCCAATGCATACAGTCGATGCTTCCAATCATTCCTGGAAATCCACGTTGTTCTCCAATAGATAGTAGTCTTTGCAGATCCTCCGGTGTAGGACGTCTTAGGTATTCATCGCCAAACAAGTGGATTATTCCGGCGGCAAAATGGTGCAAACAACTTCTAGCTGTTGATTCAGCTACTCGGACATATTCGTCAACGGTATCAGCCGCACCACCATACGCCAGTTGACGAATCGCTGCGGTACATTTTTGGAGTGGAGATATGCTAGACCGTCCGGCTGCATCTTCTCTTGATTTAAAATAATCTACTTCTTGGAGTGGAGATATGCTAGACCGTCCGGCTGCATCTTCTCTTGATTTAAAAAGGTTTTGAATAAGAGAAGTTGAGAGCTGATTTGTATTCTTAACGAGAAAATGTATCCACATATTTATAGGTGAAAGTGTTGCATTGTCTTGTGATTTCTTATTGTTAATCTTGTGACTCTTTAGTACATCTTCTGACTCTTTATTAGTACATCTTGTGAGTCTTTAGTACATCTTGTGACTCTTTTATACATCCTGTGACTTGTGACACCAAAATTATTTGCACAAATGTTGAAGCTCGTGACTTACAAACATGACACTCGTGTATTTAGTCACGAGTGTGACTTACAAGAATGACAATGAGTGATCAATAGTCACTTTATGTTTAAATGTAACAAAGAGTGATACATTAATCCATTACACAGGTACATCAATCGCCAAAAAACAGAATCCATTACACAGGTACATTAAGAAATTACACAGGTACATTTTAATCCATTACACATAAACACAATTTTCATATCTAAACCAACAGGCTGATTTAGATAAAGATGAGGACGATACCTATGGAAATTAAAACAACAAGCATAACCACAACAAGGTAATCAAAGCTAGGCCTTGATTTATTCGTGGCCAACGCACAAACCATGTCCTCTATCCTCAGCAGCTTTTGGTCAGTCTCATAGTCACTCAAGAAGTTCATAGAATCTACTTTCTCAGCTAACTGAAGAGTCTGTGTATCTATGGATCTCATTTCCTCCATAACAGCCTGATCCCACCATTTCCAAACATGACACTCTCCATCATCAACATTAGTACATGTGAAGTACCTTCTACCTGGATTGGTTCTACTGCGAGATGTAGCTAGCAGAGGTTGACTACCACAATAGCACTTCTTCGGAAAACCATATTCAACCTCAGGCTGTGGAGGGTACAGAAACTCCTCACCGTCCACGTAGCCTAACTCAGCCTGATCTGCCCGTATCAGGGCTTCTATTTCGCTGTAGTCACTGTCCGCCCGATCCCCACCAAAGTCCTCAGATTGTGAAGGTTGGGAATAACTGTAATCTAAACCCATGTTTACTGAAACCTGCAAAAAGAAAGACATTCATCTTAAATAAGCATCGAGCATGTTCAACAAAAAACTGCAGACATTCATTTTAAATAAACATCGAGACACATTCATAAACATAAAATAGATTCATTTATAAAGATAGACGTACAAAGAGAACCGAGACATACATTAAAAACATAGAAAGACAGACATTAAGCCAAAGTACGCAAGCCATAATTTAAAAACATAGAAATGGAGACATTTTAAGAAACAG